GATCCACTGGGGACGGGGCACCAACACCTGTGACGACAGGTGGCTGTGTGCCCTGGGTCCTCCTCCTCCTTCCTGCCTCTGCCCCGTTGGCCCTGTTGCCACCATGCTCGTGATAATGGCAACACCAGAAATCTTTTGGCATCTGAGGTGGGTTTCTATTTTTCTTGATGACTTAAATGGCACCTTCTTATTATATATATAAAAAAAAGTTATATAAAACTATTAAATAAAAAGTGCACGCTTCCTGCAATTTTGCAAATCCTCTCTTCCCCTGCAATCCCCAGATTGTTACTGGCGACAACCTTCTCCTCATTTTTAATGATGTGCAAGACTGGAGGCTCTATAGTCTGCTGGGGATTACTCACGTGCCCCCTGCGCTTCAGGAATTCGTATTCATCTTTACAAAAGGAAGCTTGGATATCACCTTTGTGAAGATGCCCTGACCCAGCCACACCTCCTGGTCCCCCTGCCCTCGCCAGGTGCGCAGAGTCATTTGTACACACTTCAGTTAAAGCACTTAAAACAGTTCCGTGGCAGTTCTCGAATTCAATGTCTCTCCCCCTTCAAGGACCATGTCTTGTTCCTCTTTGGTACAAGACGTCGGGCACACAGACACGCAACCCTGAGCACGGCAAGAACTGGCTGAGTGGACGAGTAAAGCGCTATACAAATAAGACATTTCTCTGACACATAGACTCCGAGTCCTAAAATGATCACAATCAGGACGCTCGTGCTTACATTTCTCTAACGAGATGTTTCGCTTAAAGTCCACATTTCAACAGCTAAGTGGTGCTCTGGATTCTGATTCTCTTCTCCCCTTTGTCTGGGCCTGAAAACTCAAAATTCTAACTTCACTGAAAATTGTAAAGCTGGAAGAATTTTGAGATGGATGGTGGTTTATTTTTCAAGTGCCAGACGAACATTCTGAAGCATATAGCATCTTTGGCCATGGGCTTTGTTCGTTGACACCAGAACATTCCAGGAAATGACATTTCAAATAAACAGATTCGAGTCCAGCAAAGCACAAACACAAAGAAGCATTCAACAGCATTTCACAGCAAATAGCCTTCTGTTGACAGCTACTCAGGAATGACTGATTATATTTGCAAAGCACCAGTATCTCTTCTGTTAGATTAATTGAATATAGTTTTAGCTGATGGCCTGGGCTAAAGAGGGAATCTATAAGAAGAGAACAAGGGAGAAGGGCTCAGAAGGATGACTCTCAGGACTATATTCCTAAATATCAGAAATCCTGCCTGGAACAACACTTCAAGTTCATAAGCCCCATGGAAGGACTTTGCTGGGCTGCATGACATATCATCCAAGGAGCATCAGTCAAAAGGAGTCACTTTTCTTGGAAAAAAAAAAAGAGATTGCCACGGAGCTTTCATATATCACCACTTAAGCAGTCTGGGCTTATTAATATAATTAAGTAATATAATCATGAGCCCATTTCCCAAAGTCGTATTTCTTGTTCAAGTAGATCAGTGATTTTCTTTTTTTTTTATAATTTTATTTTTTATTGGTGTTCACTTTGCCAACATATAGAATAACACCCAGTGCTCATCCCATCAAACAGAACTCATATGTCACACGTTAGACCCGGTTCTTCACATTAAAACGCGGAGGCAGTCTACAAATCGAAATCCACCACTTAATTTTGACTTTAGAATCAAAGAGTAAGATTTAATAGGGAAAATCACAGTAAGATTTAACGGGTACAGTCTCCAATGAGGTAGAGAGTGGAGACCGGGCAGGTGACCTACGCTGGCACTGGAGGCAGAAAGTGGATAAATTCAGATTCCTGGGAATTTAGCACGCAAGTAGAAAACAGGTGAAGGGATCACTGGATGTCCTTCACACAAGAGACGGCAACTTAAATAGTAAAGAGAAAGCATATTCCATACACAGTGGGCGGACCTAGAGTTACATCACGCAACTACCATAGTAAGTGAGGAAGCAGTGTGATGACTAATGGGAACGGGGTAAAAAACGTACCCGGTACTGTCAGAGTCAGGCTTACGAAACAACACAAGTTGACGTTTGTTGAGTTCTTGGGTTGGGTCAGGCGCTGCTCTAAGTATGTTATGTGAACAGACTAATTTTCAAAGCAATTCTGTGAGATTGGAGCTATTATTGTCCCAATCTCACAGATTAGAAAGCTGAGGCACAGAGAGGCAAAGGCCACATGCTTAGTAAGATGCGGGGCTGAGGTAGGAACTCAGGCGTCTGGCTCCAGAGCCTGCTGCCTTTTGAATAGTATGCTGCCTCTTAACACCCACTCAAAAAAAATAGAACTCCTTGGGGTGCCTCGGTGGCTCAGCCAGTTGAGCATCCAGTTCCCGGTCTCAGCTCAGGTCATGGTCTCAGGGTCATGAGGTGGAGCCCAAGCGTCGGGCTCCGCGCTCAACAGGGGTTCTGCTTGAAAGTCTGTCCTTCTCCCCCCTCCGTCTCCCTCCATCCTTCTCCCCGCTTGCTCACTCTCTGAAACAAATAATAAATCTTAAAAAAAAGGAAATATTACTCTCCGTTTCAGAGTTTTATTCATATGTTTACATAGGATTTCCAGAAAACTCTAGGAAAGGCAAGTCCTGAATTGAAGGAGACTGGTTTCTAGCTATCAAAAGCAACAGAAGTCAGTGCCGGAAAAGATACTCAATTCCCCTTTGCTTGCTGTTATTTCATCTATGCAATTGAATCCAACTCAATTAACGGTGACTTAGGGTACCATGCTGAGCACCACAAAAGCCCAGAGAAGGCATCACCTTTATTCCCATCCAGGGCAGATAAAATACTCTGGAAGCTTACAATTAAAAGAGATGAAGAGGAAAAAAAAAAAAGAGAGAGAGAGAGAGAGAGATGAAGAGAGAGAAGACCAGAGAGTTAAAATGACCTGCCCAAGGCCAAAAAGAGTAGTTGAGTCATGGAGGGACACAAGCTCCAATTCAGAGGGGCCCGGTTCTCTTGTCGCTCCACCACTCTTTCTAATCAAGTTGGCCAAACACCTCAAAATTAACCTCCTAAATGCGTATCTGGGCCCTGTAAGGAGGAAAATGTTTAATATCTGCCTGTCTCGTGTCTAGAACCCACTTCCTTCCGGAATGAAGATAAAGACAGAACAGATCACAAGGGGGGCATTTTTAAGGGAAGGGGGAGAGGACTCAAATGTAGGGTTTCCCAGATCTTCTCTGAAGGGATGTATGTTTGGGGCTTTTATTTGCTGGACAATTCACCTCTTTCAAACCTTCCCCAGTTCTAAAAGCAGACCTTGAAATTACATGTTTGTTGGCACCTATGTGAGCAGGTGCGTCTGTAGGTTCCAACTCTATCCTAAGAGTCCTAAGAAGAGAGGATGCTCTTTAAGTCTCCGGGTATGCCCAGCTCTTACAAACTGCCTTCACACAGGATGTGTTCAGCTTGGGAGCAATGTTAAAAGTTTGGGTATCTTTCCAATTAGTTTGTTTTCTTTCCCCTCAAAATGGCCCTGTATTAGGTCTTTTAGTGATTTTTTTTTTATTAGATCATGTTAGCGGACCAATTTTATGCATTCCCCTACCACCACCCCCAACCTGCCAAGGGACATTTGGCAACGCCTGGAGACATTTTTGGTCGTTACAGCTCGAGGAGGATGGTGCTTATTGGCATCCAGTAGATAGAGGCCAGGGGTGCTGCTAAACATCCTGTGTGAGACAGGCCCCACAACACAGAATTATGTGGCCCCCAACGTCAGCAGCGTCAAGGTTAAGAGACGCTGGCCTATTTAAAAGTAAAAAAATGCACATTCACCTTTCTATCTCGCCACTTTTAAGACACAACTAAAACATAAATCAAAATGTGGGAAATATCAGAAAGGGAGACAGAACATAGTGACTCCTAACTCTGGGAAATGAACAAGGGGTTGCAGAAAGGGAGGTGGGCAGGGGGTGGGGGCGACTGGGTGACGGGCACTGAGGGGGGCACTTGATGGGATGAGCACTGGGTGTTATGCTATATGTTGGCAAATTGAACACCAATAAAAAATAAATAAAAAATAAATAAACACAGGTACTTGAAAAAAAAAATGCTACACCAAAGATTTGCCCCAAGCAAGACCGTTTCAGCAATCTATTGTTAATACGCCAATTATTTAAGGGGCTTATTTACGGGATTGGAAGGGTTCATTAAACACTAGAAGAAATGGATGCGTTTAAACATTTATGTTTAAGTCAGCAATGGAGAGTCTTCTCCAAAGAGGATGATCTCGTGTTTACTCTGTCTGAGGCGGAGGCATTCCAGTTACGACAGAAAACATTCTGCTGACGAGGCATTTTACAGCCACCCCTGCCCTGACTCAGATGTGGGGCTCTTACTTCAGATTGTTTCATTATTTCTAACCTCACTCACAATCTGACCAGCGCACAGAGAGGAAATGCATGTTTTTGTTCACAGAGAGGGTCACCAAACGCTGCTTTCACCATCAGCTTTTTCTCTTTAGGCCTGTCCATCTTCCTCACGTCTAGGTTTCCCTGGAAGTTCCAGTTCTGCAGCCTGGATTCCTTGTTGTGGCTCAAGGAATCATCCCTTCGGTTCTGTGCCTTTCTCCTTGACTTTTGCCCCTGAAGGACGGCTGCGTGAGGTTAGCTCAACAGCCTGACAGTGTCAAGATGAACAAGGAGGAGGAGGCAGGGGGAGCTGCTGACTTTTCTTTGCACTTGGTCATGGCTTCCTTACATGGTCTTAGCCGATGTGGCTCCGTTCTCTACAGCTTTGTTTGCTTGCTCATTTTCCCTAGGGCTGATTATGTCTGAAGCTTTGGCTGTCTGGCGCACACTTGAATAAAATTTCTTTAAGGGGACAAATTTCTTCTTTTCTTGGATTCAACTGACAAAAAAACACATAGACCTCAGGAGGGTCTTGGAACATATCACAGTAATTTATCTGTTTAGTATTTTCTGTGTTGAGTTAAACATGTCACTGCTAGAGATCCCCACACATTGGTTAACGACTTTCTAAATATTTACCAAGATCTTTAATAAGCGAGAGTGCTTCCCATGATATAAAGGCTCCACCACCATCATCCATGGCACCCTGCCCAACGTCCCAGCTGTCCAGATGTCCGCTGACCAGAACAACCTAGAACAAATAATAAAAAGAGGAAAAAAATAAAACTAAGCAGAAATGACATCAAAGAGGAAGCATTCACAGTCATTACAAATACAGATATGAGGCTTTTGTATTTTCTTTTCGATCTTTATGTCTTAAAAGATCTGTGTCATTACCAGCGGATAACCTGGTGGAAGGCGTTACAGGAGGGGTGGCAGGCCCTCCAATAGCAATAAAAGTCCTCACCTTGTACTTCTCTTTATTGGTATAGCTTTGAATACTAAAGTAAAACCGTTTGTTACTGACCCAATGTTCGACAATTTTATTATATGGCTTAAAATATAAACGACATAAAATGGAGCTCAAAGCTTCAGCCATATTCTCAGCTGTCTCGCATTCTAGCAGACATATGTTGGATTGAGTTCAAATGGAAACATGAGAAGAATAATTAATTTTAAAAAAGATTATGCTTTGTGTATTATAAAATTATTCTGATGTTGAACAAATAAATATACTGGAGCTACAAACGAGAGTCTAATCAAAGAACTTCTTAAAAAATTCAATCTATATTAGTGTTAAGTAAGTCTACAGGTTATATTATAAATTTTAAGTCACCATAGGTTTAAATTTTTTTCAAGAATCATTAGTAATTTTCCCCAGGAAAATGTAAAACATATTTCAACAAAACTTTATTTTGTGAAAGCATTTTAAAGGAGGCAAGTAAAATGATGCTCAGTTAATGGGATATCCATATGGAAAAATTGTATCTTGACCTCTGTTGCATACAATCTACAATGTCAAATCAGCTGAATTACAAATCTAAATAAAGATGTCAGAGGAAAGCATAGAACAGCTTTGTCAACTTGGAGTAGGCAAAGATTTCTTAAACTGAACACAAAAAGCACAAAACATAGAAGAAAAAATAAATTGAACTTTTGAAAAATGAGGAATATCTATCTATTCATTCAAAAGATTCCATTGCAGGAGCGAAAAGGCAACCCACAGAGGAGAAGATATTTACAATACATATAAATAGCAAAGGAACTATACCCAGATGATATAAAGAATTATATATCAAATATATATATATATATCAATATATATCAAATAAATATAGATATCAAATAAATATATATATTATATATAATAAATATATATATATATCAAATAAAGAGAAAGGCAACTGCTAAAAACATGCGCAAAAGACTTGAACAGACAACTCACAAAAACAGATACACGAATACTAATAATCATACAAAAGGGTACTTGGGTTTGCTATCATCAAGGAAATGTAAAGTAATCCACATTCAATACACATCCACCAAAATAACTTGAATAAAAAAGGCAGAAAATGTTGAATACTGGTGAAGAGATGGAGCAACTAGAAGCCACCGCCGGTGCGGTACCATTGCTGACAGCCACTCCAGAAAACTGGCTTATCTACTAAATCTGAACGTACGCACACCTACGCCCCAACACCTCCACTCGTATATATTTCCAACAGGAGTGTACATATACGTATATTTTCACCAAAAGAGATGTACTAGAATGTTCAGAATATTCAGAAGTCCCCCAAAGCCCTCCGCAGAAGGAAACTATTTAAATGCCTGTTAACAGCAGAATGAGTAAGTTGCCTTGTATCGCTCGATGGAACACTACACAGCAGTACGAACGCACAAACGCAGCACGTGATCGATGGCGATGAATCTCATGAACATCATGAAAAATGAAAGAAGCCAGACACAAACTAGTATATCATGTATAATTCCGCATACATAAAATATAAAAATTATCAAAACAGGAGAATGGTTCCCCAAGATGAGAAGGGTTGGTGACACAAGGCGGGGCCAAGGGAGGCTTGGTCACATTCTGCTTAGTGAGCTGGGGACCAGGTGCTCAGTTTGTAAAGACGCTTACCTTGTTACACACTTGGGATCTGTGTGCGTTCTCTGAGGATATTACATAGCAATTGATGTCCATGCACACACAGCACGGAGCGAGCAAGCCAAAGTTGAACCAAGCTTCTTGATCAATGAAATAGAAATGCCCCCATGACTTTGGGGAAGCAGGATTTGGGTTCTGAAATACCAGGGTGACCCCTTGTGCTGCCTGCTTCCCTGAGCAGCTGCAGGAGCTCCACTGACTCCGTCTACACACACACACACACACACACGGTCTACATGACCTCACTGTAGTCACAAACAAGTACAACGCCTTGTAACTAACAGGCCTAACAAATGGCCATGTAATGAACCCAAATGGATTGTTTCTAAGGAAATAAAAAGAAAGAAGAAGAAGAAAGAAAAAAAAAAGCATGTTGCAATAGCAGGAAATTCTGATTCAGAAACTGGTGTAATCCTGTGTGGGATGAACAAGCCACTTAGTCAATGTTCTCACCATCCTCAAAGCCATTTTCCCAGTGAAGTTAGAGTCCCAGTGAATTAAGAGTGTCAAAATGTGTTTTGATGATGTTTTGTTTCCCAGTTAGCAGTAAGAGCAACTAACTCGAGGCAGCTATTATTTTATCCTTCAGAATAATTGAGGTTATTTTATCATCACGCATCTTAATGTTTTCTAAAACGCCTCCATTAGCCCACCCAGAATTATCAAATAAATAATTAAAAGATGGGGGGAAATGGTTTTGAATGATAGGAAACTAAACGATATCCCAGAAAGTATGGCCTTTAACACAGTGCTAGAGAAGAATGCTCACAAACCACTTACATTATGAGAGCTGGTTTTAATATTTCTTTAATCAGAAAAGGTACTGGGGGCCACCGTGGGATAGTAGTTACAATTGTGATACGAAAACGAGGTCCCGGCAATTCGGGAGCACGTTCACTGACTTGAGTTCTCCCAAGCAGAAGGGCTCTCCCGGCCTGGGAGGATGGGAGCCCACAAGGCCTCCCTCTGAGCGGCACCCTCGTAGGGGACGTGGCCGGAGTCCCCGAGCCCTGCGTCGGGTTGGGCAGGAGCGGCCACCGCTTGCACTGCACCTGGGTATGATTTAGGAGAACAAGATAAAAACAGACTACCCGGAGACATAGAAAGCCCCAGCCCTGTGAAGAAGAATCACCTGGTCAAAGAGGAAAACCCACAGGCCCTTCAGTGCCTGTGCTGCAAGGCGGGGCCATGGGCCGTCATGGCCTAAGGGACACCGCCTCTCTAGGCGGCTGTCCAGGGCCCAGGGCAGGAGGCACTGCAGCCCCGTCCTCCACCGTCCTTTTTACAACCACGTCTTCCAAACACAGGGAGGGAGGCACAGGGAAAGGGCCACAGGCCTGCAGCTTGACACAGTGGCCTGGCCCCGGGGGTGGGGGGGGGATGGCGAGGGCACCGGCTGAGGCCAACGGGCAGCCTGGCCGTGCCCCTGGCCCACCGCGAGACAGCAGCCCCAAGGGCCCCCCATCCTGGAGCGCTGCATGGGGACCTGGCACGTCACAGCTGCTGACTCACCAGTGGGCACCCGCTCCTCCCGAAGGACATGGGGACACGGGGACAGAGGGGCACCAGCCAGCCTTGAGCGAGCACAGACTTCGAGGACTCGCCAACACGAGACGCTAGAGAAGGATGTCACAGCTCCGGACTCACTGCGTGCGTCTTTTTGACAGCTTGTGTTGAGTTTCTGTCGTAGGTCAGACACTGAAATGGGGAAAATAACTACGTATTCTATCTTCACGGAGTGACCGTTCTGGTAGGGGAGACCGTTCTGGTAGGGGACAAGACAGGACTATCACGCCAGGGCCGTTGTAAGTGCTATTGAGGAAAACAAGGCAAAGAGAGAAAGCAGAGAGTGGCGGTGGCCATGGGATGATGGTCAGTGGGATTCCTCAGCCTGTGCCCCCCTCGCAGTGAGAGAAATTGGGATAATCTACAAAATCATAACTTCTTTAAGGCCCATCGAAGACTATAGATTGTGATTCAGCCAGAGGAGCCGAATTCCAGAGGCTAGCGAGCTCATCCAGGAGAGATGGGCCACACGAATTGCTCGGCCTTTTGCAGTGATGGGAGGGAGAGGGGACCGTGACAATGGGCAGAGGTGACAGGCCCAGGCAGTCATGAAGACAACTAACAGGTTAACAGGTTCTGAAAAGGTGACTGTGGGTTAACTTGAGAGCTCAGCACCCGTGGGAAACTCCCAGGGAAGGTGCTAGCCACCCAACTTCCCAGATCCTTCCCATGGGCCTCCATCAGGTGCTCACAAGGAATGCTGGGAGCACAGGAGTGCAGATGATGACCAGATGCTGCCGGGAGGCAGGCGCCAAATAGAAGCTGTTCTAGGCCCTTCTCTCCTGGAAGCAGAAGTCACCTGCCCCCTGGGGTCCTGCAGGGCAGAGGTCAGTGGCTGAGGGGAAGGGGCAGAAAATTACTCCCCCGACCCCGTACTGACATTAGGAAAGAGACATATGTCTCTGGGGAGGTCAGGAAAGCTGCTCAGGCCCATGGTCCCACCCTGTGTAAATGGACTTCTCCTCCCACAGGCCGGGGCGGTGGGGCAGGCTACTCACTCGCAGGCCCGAGTGGGGCTCCCACAGCAGGGGGGCAGGCAGAGTGTTAAGAAAGCTCCCCTGCTGACCTCAGGCACTCAGTCCCCCATGCCTGAGGGGCCAGGCGGGAGAACCAGGAAGCATCCTCCAGCAGCCCGACCCCTACAGACACTGAACACAGTAGCAGCACCCCAGGAGCAGGGGAGCACCAAAGGTGAGAGGAGAAGCAAGGAAATCCAGCCCAGGCTCAGCTATGAAAGATGGACTCAACCATCCTCCTCTGATGGGCTTGACAGAAGAGGCATCATCATTGTTGGACCCACATACCATTTGCCCCAGGCTCTCCTGTTCTCTTATATATGATATCCAGCATCCAATCAAAATTATGACATAGAAAATAAGCAAGAGGGACACGTGGGGGCTCAGTGGTTGGGCACCTGCCTTCGGCTCAGGGCATGACCTGGAGGTCCTGGGATCAAGTCCCACACTGGGCTCCCCACAGGGAGCCTGCTTCTCCCTCTGCCTGTGTCTCTGCCTCTCTCT